GATCCATAAGGGAAATTATTTGGACACAGTAGCTCACACGTCACAATGTATTATAATAACAAAGAGAAAAAAAACATAAATGGTACCAAAAATAGCAATGGACTGGTGTCAAATAAGGCATAATTAAATAAATGTACAGAAATATAGTAATACAAATATAGAGTATCTCAGCTTTATATAAGAGATCATAAGGAAAACAGTGCAAAGATGAAGTTGATTATATTCTAAAATAGACCTGGGCATTGTCCAGCTCCCGGGCCTCATACGGCCCTTTGTTTGACTCTGACTGGCCCATTTCAGCTAATTTGGAATTACAAAATAAACATATTTTATAATTTTACCTCATGCATGGACTAAAGCTGCATTGCTTTTATTTTAGAGGTGTTTTTTAATTATATTTTTTGCAAGGCATCCTCACTTTTTCATTGCTTAGTCATAGCATAAATTCTTAACAGTCTTATCAGCTCATCAAAACAATGCTTTTTACTGCATTTTATAAAGAAATACAATTAATATTATGCAGAATTGAGTTAAGCATTTTGGCCCAGCCCTCAACAATATTTTCTGTTTCTCATGTAGCCCCATGGAAAAAATAATTGCCCACCCTGTTCTAAAATAAAAATAAATAAATAAATATTTTGGGTTGTAGGTAGGCTGTCTATTTAGCTTTTTTTTTTTTTCAAGTAAATTTAGTAAGAAGTAAACAGTAGGAATTTAAAGGTTCATTATGTAACTTTCATAGGGGTCCACCACCTGCTTGTCTCTGTCAAGATGATAGTACATTGACACAAAATGACATGAAATTAAGTTTTTTATTTACCTGTGTCCTTGTCTCAGTAGATTTATACAAAACCAGTGATTTGTCCAAGTTTTATACAAGAAATGCCCCTGGTGTCCTTCTGTTTGTCCAATCTGATTCCCACTAACAGTAAAGAGGGACAAATACTGTAATTTGTTTAGCCAAAATACAGAAAAATGTGTTTGAAAAAATGCAAAATTCTCTCAGATTATATATTGTCTCACAAGTAAACCGTGAATGAATCATGAATGGTCCGAGCACATAATAATTTTCCTTAAAGGTGCATTGTGTAACGTTTCCGGTGGAGGGTCCGTCAAATGTTTTTTTTTTTTGTGGAGATGTTAATGTTTTGTCTGGAATGTTTCACAGTATGGTATTAAACCTTTCTATCTTCATGGAGACCAAACCAGGCCAAGTTACAGGTCAAATATTTGTAGGTATTTTTGAGCTATGAAATCGCCTGTAATTTAATAAATCTAAAGTGGAGCTGTTTAATGTCATACATATCCATCAAAACAAGCAGGCGGGAGACCAAAAACCAACAGGTTGTAGTGCACCTTTAATTACGGACACTTTTGCAATTTTATTATTACCAGCCACCCCAAGCTGAGCATGACCCAGTTTTTCATTTTGAAAATCTGGTCTCTGTAACCTACATACAAAGGCAAAAAAAAGCATTATTAGACAAACAAAAGCCCTACTGTAAATATATAACTCGACACCTGGGTTTGAAGCATATAAAATAGCATTGGTGATTGATACGAAGTTGCCCTAAGCTGACAAATATCATCTTCGGAGCTAGCATTCCACGCGTATTTTTCTGTTGACATGTGTTTTGTATCATCTGATCTTTGTATTGTCCCCACCCTGAAGCCATGCCAGATAACGCAAAGCTCAATTTGTCCTCCGTTAGACACAGCGGACCACACTTTGACTGACAGACGGTGGACATTTTCTCAAGATTTCCCAAAGAGATTACCTGAAACTCCCCATGGCCTTGGCTCTAAAATTACGTCGCCATTTTGGTCCTTTTCATCGGGTTATAATAAGAGAGACATGGGTGGCTGGTATGTTTCCCCTTCCCTTTCTCTGCATTCACAATCTGTAAGTATAGTATTTTTCTACTTTTGGCTGGAGGTGTTAGAAGATGAAGAAGTCAGACATGCTGGCTCCAAAAAGTATGGCCAGGTTTCAGAAGACATCACGACGTTCTAGAGGCCAATATTTTTTAACGGTGCACCGTGTAACTTTTTGGTTGTGGATCCGTTACCTACTTGTTTCCATAGGTATGTCATTGCTCTCTCAGGACTTAAAAATGCCCAGAAAAACAGGCATTCTAACTGCGAGTGGGGTTGCCTCTCCATAGATCTAACCTGTAACTTGGACTCTTTTGGTCTCCATGAAGATAAAGAGGTTTAATGCTATACTTTGAAACATTCCAGACAAAGCAATAACATCTCCAGGAAAAAAAGCATTTAACGGACCTTCCACCAGAAAAGTTACACAATGTACCTTTAAGTAAGTCTTAAAATGGATACTTTTTACTTTTACTACATTTGAGAGAGAGTACTTCCTACTCTACATTTTTGAAAACACAAAAACAAAAATATACAAATAAAAACAGCTAGGAAAAAATATATAGATTCATTTGTTTATGTTGGACAAAATTCAACACAAAAATTTTAGCAAAATCATAACATTTGAAGCTTTATTCGATCTCAGAATCTTTTTACTCTTCAAAGCTGCTTTATGTAACTTTTCTGGTGGAGAGTCCGTCAAATGTTTTTCACTATGGAGATGTTATTGCTTTGTCTGGGATATTTCACAGCATGGTAAAGTATAGTATAGCCAAGTAAAGTACCTTTCTACCTTCATGGAGACCAAACCAGACCAGAAGTTACAGGTCAGATCTGTGGAGAGGCAACCCTGCTCACACTCAAAATGCCTGTTTTTCTAGGTATTTTTGAGCTATAAAACCACCTGTAATTGAATAAATGTAAGGTAGATTTGTTTAATATCATATTGTGGATATTGTGTCATATTGTGGCCCATGTGAAGCAGAGCAATGACATCTCCATAGAAAAAAGACAGTGACAGACCCCCAGCTGAAAAGTTACACAATGCCCCTTTAAGTAACAAAACTGAGTACTTCTTCCACCAACAGAATCCTGCAATCAAAACATAATTTTTTGTTGAATGTATTGTATTGAAAATCTAATTATGCAATGAATTTATCCAATACTACATCCCCTCATAGTAAATGTTTTATACTTCAGAGGTTATTGGCACAGATGGTGTCATAGTGCAGCTTTCCAGTTAGGAGCTGTCACTGTCTGTGTTTCCCAGGGGAGAGACGGGAAAGGCAGAGGAGAAACACAGAGTGTGAGATAACATGGCAGGCTTCCCTTCCCAGAATACACCGGGGCAGTATCTATAGACCATCACAACACTAGAGGGACCCTGGACTGTATTGATTTGTTGTCATAGAATTTATCGAGAATTGAATTTCATACAGAGATATAACATTCACTCATTACAGCGATATGCTAATATTGATTCCTGTTCTGTGTGTTGGTGATTTTTTTCTTTCTCTCACTACATCCAATCTCCTTTATGGTCATCTTGGAAATCTTTATTTAAATGGCCCATATCATGGTATTTTCTGATCTATGTTATGATGTTGTTTCCTCATCATAAACATACACGGAGTTGTGTTTTGTTTCATTCACACATGTTTAACACACAAATCCTGCATATTTAAGATTAAAATGGCTCAAATGGAAAACACCTTTTTTTTTACCTTGTGAAGTCATGTGTAATACAAGAAGTGCTCCACTGTGTTTTTAAACTTCATAATCCTTCACTAGATTAATTAGGATAATTTCAGCAGTGAGAATGCCAATCTCTACTGAACAAAAAACTCTTTCACCTTATGACATCACAAGGTGGAACAGAGCATTTTGAGCTTTGGAGATGTAGACACACCTATAAAGGGTTACTCAAACATGTGTCAATGAAATGACTGCACCTATAACAATTTAAATATATTTTTAAAAATGCATTGACTTAATCCTGAATATAACTAAATATATAACTACTATTTTTGATAGAAGCAGACAATCTAAAGTCTAAAATCACATTGACATTGTATCCTTGGGCAAGACACATCTGCATGGAAGGGCATCTGACATAAAAAAAAAAAAAGTATAATTAGCAACTTTAGCTGACACCCTGTATAATCCATACCCACAAAATGATTAAAAATAAACTAATAAAATTGTTCCCATTCTCTCCTGTGCAAGATATATAGGCCTAAACTATGAAGTTTACTGTAGACTTGTTTGTATTTTCCTGACATAAATAGCAGAAGTAGTCCAGGGGTAATTAATGAACTTGATTATAGCTGCCACGCTGTTAGCTGCTCCACTTTCAGAGGCTCTACCTGCTGCCTCGGTGGCTTAGTGGGACACGGGCTGTATATATACAGCACAGCATTACACTTCTCACTTACACCTGCGCATTTTCTGCTACATCAACAACAGCACCGTCCCTCCTCTTCTGTATCTCTGCGATCCTGAAAAATCAATATTAATCAGCAGAAAGTGAAAAATGATATTCTTAATCCTTTTGCATCTGTTTATTTTTCTATAGCCTCATAAATCCTTTAAAGATACAGGAAAAAGATTAAAAAGGTCTATGCAAATACACTGAGTTTATGAATAGAGATAATAAATTCATAAAGTTACTTGCATTTTGTCGTATGAAAAATCCTAGAAGGCTAAGCCCGGGGATAGGCCTGATGAAATGGAATACAAAATCATTATTCCATTAATTTGCATTGTGCTGAAATGTTAGATAAGGGTGTTTGTAGACTATTATAACGTCTACTTGCACCATCTCTGACCACATATGTGCTAAATCTGGAATAGTTCAGCCTACTTGTGGTGCTTATTTAGTTTAAAACCTACAGTTTGTCTGTCCCACAGCGTCCAGCCTCACCTGCAGTCCATACCGTAGGTCCGTAGCATTGGTCCGTACCGTGGGTCCGTACCTTCCCCGGCCCGTGAGCCCTCCCCTCCCCGCCTCTCCGCTCTCTGCGCGCTCTCCCCGCAGCAGTGCGCTCCTATAGGCTAATCAGTTGGTAGTTTTATCACAGCCTCAGCATCCTTCCTCTCTCCCTCCTCCAGCAGCAGAGGAACAGCGACAGCCCGAGCGTTCACAAGTGTTTTTGACCGCGGCCATGGTGGAAATGACGGATATCGTGTGCCTTCTCGTCCCGCTGGTGATGCTGGTGGGCTCCAGCCACCAGACCGATGCGAAGAGCGTCAAAGAAGCGGATAAGACGGGGAATTTCATGGAAGACGAGCAGTGGCTGTCCACCATTTCACAGTACAGCCGCAAGATCAAGCACTGGAATCGCTTCAGAGACGTAAGTCCGCCGTGTCGATAGAGATGCGAGGTAATGCAGTAAGATGAGCTGACGGGGACGGGCGCCATGGAACAGACCCAGAATGGACACTTTTACACACTTAGTTTAATGTCTTTCTAAAAGACTCGCCTGCTAAAGGAAAAAACAAAACTTACAAGTGCAAACTAAATAACGCTTGATAAGTTAATTACGATATTACATGTTTGACAAAAAGTCTCTTTAGTGCTTGCAATAGGCTGCTAACCCACGTGTAAGGGGTTAAAACCTGTTTAGTTTGGTACAACACGTAAATGAGTATGGAAATAACAAGTTAGCCTACCTCCCTAGCTACCAACAATAGAAAAAGCTTGTTTACACGATGTGAGAATCCATGGTTCTAAAGGCGAATCATGGGATGAAAACTTTACGCTAAAATTTGATAATTGATTCAGAAATAAACATCATATTATGGCTATTCACAATTAGTTTGACCACTGTGTTATAAATCGATTTAAGGCTATATTCTAAAAGTCAAAAACAACTTGTTAATGTTATTTAATGGAGACACAGCACCCTATCCTAACCTAAATAACTAGCCTGAAATATATTCCCTCTATTTTTCAGAAGACATGAACAAAAATTAATTAAAACATGATTTGCAAACATATCATTATAATTAGCTCTAGTTTCCTATCTCCTCCCCGTTTCCTTGGTGATAGATCCTTGTTAATTACCAGCAATTAATGTTGCGAACCTGCTGCAATAACAGTAGCACAGACCCTCTCCATCACTTTGGCCTTAATATAGCTTACCACAGACCTGCTTTCACTTTGCTCTCTGGAGGATCCTCAAACAAGAGAATTAAACTATTAAACATTGGGGGGGGGGCTGATTGATTGAGGGCCTATAGTGCTAGCCTAGTACACTGATTCAACTGGGTTTCATTGGATTGATTAAAACCTGCTGGGTATGCAATGAGGATAAATGGCTGGTGTCTGTAAACCTATAGATGAATCTATGCCTCCAGCACTGGGAAATGATTACTAATGATCACAATAGGATTTGAACTGCAAGGCCGGATTATATTCCATGTGAATCCATTTGAATGAGTTTTAATTGATCTGGTGGCGCTTGCTGTAGCATGTGATGGCTACTGTTATTGGATTGGAGATGGAGTAATTGTCTTAGGGCTGCTGTTGGTTTTCAGATTCTATAATGTGAAGATGTCGGGGGCAAGGGCCAGATTTCCCTGTTGATTACTAGGGATGTAACAATAACCAAAATATTGTGCTATTGAATCTTCAAAAGTCTCACAATAATATCGAAGGCCATCACAATATATCAAGTTACAAGTCTATTTGAATTACTTTGTGTTTGAATTGTGCTATACAAATAAACTTGCCTTGCCTTGCCATGGTACACCACTAGATAAAAAAAAAAAGAGGACTACAAAGACCATGATCCTTTGGTGTTGTCAGTGCAGACCATGGATCTATTAAAATAACAAGACAGACTGCATGAAGAAAGAACTGTTAGTAAACATTTCAAAATCTTAATTCTTCATATTATAAAAGTACCAAAGGCTTTCCAAGACTTCAAAAAGAAAAAAAAGTTGCATATTTACAAGTTTGTAAGTGAAAAAACACAAAATAATGCAATAAATATTGAACCGTGAGCTGCATATCGTGAAAATATCGTATTGAGGGATTTTGATATTGTTACATCCCTACTGATTAAATTATACTTTGTCATAAAATATCCAAAAGTGTAAATTCACAAATGTTGAACCAGATATTTTTCATTATTAACTAAACTCAAGATCTCAGTATATTACAATATAATTTAGCATTTTAGAATGCTGTGATGTCACCTGAAACCTACCAATAGGAGAACAACATGTCTTCTGAAGCAAGGTGGTGAACCAGGCTGTTTAATGATAGGGATGTAACTATATCCAAATCTCTCAGTATGATATTTTCACAATATATATCTCACAGTACGGTATTTATTGGGATATTTTGTGGAGGTTAACAAAATATGAATATGCTACTTTTTCCCTTCTAAAATGCTTTGACAAGACTTTGGTTTTGTCATAATTCAAAAAATTAAGATTTTTAAAAATCTATATTGCTGCATTATAACTAGTCATTTAACCGAAGAGACTTATGTAATTAGATATATTGTGATGGCCCATGATGTTATTGTGAGACTTTTGATGATGAGATATCGCAATATATTGGTTATTGTTACATTACTATTTAATGACCATTCCTAAGGAGACGATGTTGTTTTTGACTGTAACAAAGGCGAAATACAATTTGTCAGATGGACGAAAGTTTGTTTTGGTCGAATACATTTCGCAGCTCATCCAAGCTGCTGCTTCAGTTCTAAACTGATGGATTCTACCTGGACGAATGAGGGAGTTTACACACTTTTTGATCGTAAGTCATCTCTACTTATATTGCCCTTCCCTGAAGTGTGAAGGTGATTGTGCAGAAAAGGGGTTAAGTGCATGGCTGCGATTAGTCAAAAAGTATGGCTGTGCCCTTTGGGACTGTACTTAGAGAGGTAATGAGACTGTGGGTGTTGGAGATTGAGGCAGAATTGTTGTGGGATTCAAAGTGAGCGGTGTCAAGCTAATGCATATACAGTATAAGGCTGTAAAAGCTGCAAAACGAACAGATGTGTCATCTTTAGAGATACTATTTAAACTTTGCTTATTATGGATGGTACGAGACACAATTTCCACAAGACAAGACAAGATATGAGATTGGGTCCACGAGAACGAGACAAGGCGAGATTTTAACATAATTTCTAATGATTTTGATTTCATATTTTTGTTTCCATTTTAGTACTGCTTTTTGGAATGGGAAGAGATGTAACTCAACAACACCTTTTTTTTGCCTAATCCAAATGTAAACACTTGGCAAAAATCTCACGAGATAATTTTTCTCATGTGTGCACAATCTTTTAGTGATTTTGTTTCATGAGATCTTGTACAATCCCTATTGCTTATCATATTCAACTCGTAATAAGATTGGAATAACTTCATCTACTAGTAGCTATAGCAGTGAAGAAGATAGCAGAGTTTCCCGTAGAGTTTATTCAGCCTATGTTGCTACAAATAATCTGTAGATATTATTAATTCTCTTTAAAGGTCTTACATTACACAAAGTTGACCCTTGTGAGCTTTTAGCCCTGTTATAATGCTGTTACCTCCTTAAAAACATCAGGAGTTCTGACTTTTCATTCACACGTTTGGGTAATTCTTGATTATTAGTCTGTATGTCCAAAGCTCAAAATGCTCTGTTCCACCTTGTGATGTCATGCAGTTGTAGTTTTGAAGTTTTAGACTAAGGTGGAGAATTTCACTGAGGTAGCATTGGAATTAGGGATGTAACAATAACCTAAATATTGTGATATCGTATCGTCTCACAGTAATATCACGGACCATCACAGTATATCGAATTACAAGTCTCTTTTTCTTAGATGAATAGCTATGGTGCAGCAATAGCTACATAGACCATGATCCTTTGCTCCCTGTCAGTGCAGACTACATGAAGAAATAACTGTTAAATCTTAGGTCTTTGGATTATGACAGAACCAAAGTCTTATCGAGGTATTTTAAAAAGAAACGTAGCATATTCACCATTTTGTTACCCTCCACTAAAAATCGCAATAAATATCATACCATGAGATGCATATCGTGAAAGTATCGTACCGAGAGATTTGGATATCGTGAAAGTATCGTACCGAGAGATTTGGATATCGTTTCATCCCTAGTCGGAATTGAAGTGCATTAGTCAATTACTAAGTGCAACACATTCACCATACAGGTAGATGTTAACTATGTTGCTATTGTCGTACACATTGTTTTGTTATTCATGATGCCGGTGAACAAAACCCTCTTGAAGTTAATCTCAGTACAAGAAAAAAAATAGAAATACTATGTAAACATTGCATACCTATTTTATTCAGTAGAGACAGACACATGAGAAAAATGTGAGAAGCTATAATGCATCTATTCGGGGAAAAATATCTTGTTTTTGTGATTTTTTTTGACAAGCATAGATTTGTGATTTTTCTTTTATTAATAGAGTTCTGTTCAAAGTTCACAATTTAAACGAGCCCAGAATAACAAAAATACTGAAATATGAACTGACAAAACTGTGCCTCATACAAGAACCACATTTCAGAACATGTTTGTACAGTTCTTAACTATAGTTAGCAGTTTTTATGCAGAATACAACAAGATATTTAGTTGTTTGTGGTGGAAATTATGGTACTTCATAATTGTAGTCTTTGAGAATTGCTATTTGCATCCATTCAAATTGCTTTTTCGATTGCGATTAATCTTGCATCCGTTTTATGCAGTAAACTTTGGTGCTTTGACTTCTGCAGGTCAGCGATGTGAAAAATGTTGGAAGAAAATGGCAAGGCTGAGGTGGCTGATGGTTCTTCTGCTGCAGTTGCATTGAGGTGGATGAGATTGTGAATTGTATAGCTGATAGATGGAGAGAGGGAGTGCCTGTATATGAAATGGCTGTCCCGAGTGTAATATAATGCAATGGGGACACAGCACTTATACAGAGAGACAGGTTACAAACGCAGGATCAACAAAACCAGCGTACTTGTACAAGGAGCACAAGGCCAGGGTGCTCTATCACACAGGATAATAGCAAAGATTAAGGTAAACAGTTAAGAAACTGGGGGTCTGACTGTAGGATCATGACCTTGTATAACATTAAACATCTGTATAACATTAAAGATTTCCATAACAGATAAGAGCTGACCGCATTTTTCAATTGCTTTAGAAAATGGCAAGGCTGAGGTGGCTGGTGGTTCTGCTGCTGCGATTAAATTGAAATGCATGAGGTTGTGAATAGGACTGACAGAATAATACATTTTGAAGTTCGATATATATATAGCACACAACACAAGCGCAGATTCAAACCACAAAAAACTATTCTAAATCTACAATATTGTTAAAAAACTCAATAAAACCACAATAAAAAAATAGC